AAATTGGGCGTCAAAAACCGCAAGAACTTTCTTCACGACCTAATATAAAAACAGTTTCAGGTCAGCCGATACAGCTTCAAAAACAATCAGCAATTCGCCTGGGTAAATGAATACCTGTGCCTCACCTTTGTCAACCGAGGAATGTGGAGTATTCCTAATCGTCTCCACATCTCCTCAGCTCCTATCAGTCATAATTTTTTACTCAAATTTACAGAAGAAATCTTCAAGATGATTACCTTTCAAGTCTTCCCCTTCGTATCTGAGCACGAAGTTCAAACTTGGGAATCGTGCAAACGCTTCTAGAAAAGCCGTTTTCCATGAGTCTGGCATTAGGTGACTAGGAGCGACTGATCCAAATGAAAACACTACTAGTCCTTCACATTTATCCACAATTCGCTGGAATTCCTGTAACAGAAAAAATAACCATCACAAACTCCATCCATACAATCTTCCTGAAGTAGTAGAAATCTATTCGTTCATAAAATTTTTAAGAGACCGACAAATTGGTGGGGAGACTTGTAATTCGCTCAGAATGTTAGAGGACCATTTAAATTTCCAGTCAACGTTATTGAGCCATTTATGTACCCATCTTTTTCACGAAATATAGCTCGCTGAGGGGCTGTGGAAGCAAGCCGCATTATCTTATAATTTCCCCTCCTGCGCCTCCTGATCAGGGTCCCCTCGAGCTCTGTTTCGTTACAGAGAATTTACTTGTTTTTGACTCACAGGATTTAGAGGCTTGGCGTCCTTGAGCTGGATCCCAACACCTCCGACGTTGACGATCTTTGCCAATGTTGGGCGAGGGAACTCGTACAACTCGTTAGAATTCACCATCACCTAAAATTCTGACAGGTTATTGATAAATATGTCAGACTGGTATCACATTGAAGTATTTCAGACTTATGGCATGGAAGGTACCAAAGGACATTTCTGGGCCAGTTCCACTATATGAGGGAAGTTCGGATCGATCTCGCGGAAAATAGCAGTCTCCTGATCAGCGAATGTCCTGAAAAGAATGGAGCAATTCGGGCGGAGTTAAATTGTGATGGGCGCTCGGATAAGCCTTGAATCTGCAGAGAAAAGTCGGGAATACTCAGGACTTACCTTTTCCATATGGTGACTAGCAAGATTTGACCTAAGAGGCTTTTCGTCCTCTCAAAAAAGTTCATCTCGTCGGTGCTCTCCATCGTTATTGCTGGAAATACGATAGAAACATTTCATATTCGAAGTTTACTACTCTGTTTCTCAAGTATCTTTCATATGCACTGTTTGCGGGTTGAAAGTCCACAGCTGAATCATTTCTTTGGATGTTTTGAACATGACCGTCAGGCGCCTCGCAGTCTTCGTCAAAAACTCTCTGCTTTCTGCCCCTGTCTTTGCCCATGACTGGTTGATGAGCGATAACGAAACTAACCTCTCCACCTAATTTGAGGCTCTTTCGACAGACTTCTGATATTTCGAGAACATTGCTATATGATATTGATATTATGCTTGATCTGATATTTGCTAATTAATTATTAAGATTAGTATCCAATGGTAAATGAACTATTTGATTATTCCTTTTTCTTCATCGTGATTCTTACCCATGAAACTGAAAGATTCGCAGTTTTCTGGGGAATCACTCGAGCAGTTCCGTGAATTCGAAATAAGTTTAATTCTAATAATACCCGCCTTCAATTGTAGCCTTTCAGGAACGCGAAAAAAGTCAAATTGAAAGCAGATCTTAGAAAAAGCATATCAAAATGTTGTTCATAAAATAATGTAACTCACGTGGACTGTAACTTGGAACCATCGGCACTCCCATGTAATATGCAGCAAAATCTACCAAGCCGGCACTGGAACATTACAACAATTGAAGTCAGAAGGACTATTCTGAAAGGTTGAGAACATACCTGCTCAACCAGATCCATGTAGGTATTTTTGCATAATGAATTATACCAACTGGACATGCATCCGCCATATAGGCGAAGGCAAGATCAAACTTTTGAGCATTCATCCAATCCAGAAACTCTTTGTTTTTGGCCACACCTAGAACACAGTTAACTCAGTTCGATCAGTAGGTAAAGTAAAATGAAAAGTAAAAAAGTAATTCTTGTGTGAGTGGAAATCAGGTATCGTTGCGTAACCACAAAGAGCCATGCAATGCCACGCTTTGAGATGTCTCAGCATTGACTGCTACTGGGTATTACCTCGCACGTTGCCTATATAATCCCAAACTTGAAGGATAGGGTTATTCGGCGCTGATCAGTCCCGTCTTGGAGGGATCCACCGTTGCATTCGACTTCCACTCAGAACCGTTGTGACGTATTGAATGCGTATGTGGCCTAGGTACACAATGACTTGCGGTGCTATTACCAGCCGAAGCACAATTCAGCTGTTTGGTCCTCCTATACGAATCTGGTACCATTTAGCCGACTACAGACGGATAGAGGGCTTGTTGGAATGGTATCGATCCGGAACTTGAACCGCGGACCGTGCGTGTGATAGTTTGAAAGCGCGCCACTTGCCATGAGACAACCCTGCCAACCCTTTCAAACTATGACCCGCATTACTTCAGTCTCGCCACAACTTTTTCTTTCGTGAGAGCTTCTGGAGCTTCCCAGAAAATTTGTAAGCAAAGGCAGGTTATGTGATGCTTACTTCGACACATTCCATTGAGAAGTGTAGTCATTTGAGTCAAAGTTGCTCGCATCCTATAATCCCATATAGGAAGGTCCTAAATGGAAAATCGTCATTTCATGCACTTTTTCCTAGAAAAGCTGATTACGGGAGATAACAATCAAGATGAACCAATAGTGGTCCGAGCTCCTTGTTGGCTGATTGCAGACCTACGAAAAGACAGCGCGATAGTTCAACCAATAAGGAGAGCGCAGGGCTTGCCTATTACGTTGATTTTCCTATACGGAATATGGAAATATTAAAGATAGCAGGACAAATGACGAATAATTATTTCGTTGAGGGAAAAAGTATTTACCAGGAACATCATTTCCGTTTGCTTCCTCAGGAAATCTTCCCTTCTTATGCCGATAGATGCATTAACATGACGAACTGGAATCTGTAGTAATTAAAAGCTAAAGTGACTCCAATCGGTAAGAAAAGAAAATGAGGAAATTCGAGTTCATTCTGCAGACAGTAGCGCCCCTAATGATGAGAGGATATATTAATTAGTCAGAGGCAGCTTTACGTATGATCTCAATGATCTCTTACAATTTTTTTCTTCATGGAGACAGCAAGAACTCAAAGGCACAGTTTGCGGTAAAAATTGTTCTAAGATTCCCCAAAGGATGAATTTGAGGCCCCCGCGTATACCATATCTGGCACTCTTAGGTCGGAAAACGGCCTAGTTAGGGAGTGATAAAGGCTCAAGGATTTGCCCGTGTATATCGTCGGACGAGTTTCTCGGGCATTGCAAAGGCTGCACCGATCACAAGGGAACCCATGTAGAAAGTTCAAACATTCTGGCATGACCCATAGCGACAGTGAAAGACAGTTCAGTACAGTTCTGGGCTGATGTAGTCAGCTCTTTGTGCAATTCCAGTAACCGAAATCTCGTCCGAATACCCCTTCCATGTTATTTCCGTCATGGCAA